GATTGTGTGCTGGATCTTCGTACAAAGCTAAGACGTTAAACCATATATTTCTCCACCGCCGCGAATATTTCAGGACGCAACAACTCCGTCCCTGAAAATTCATGGCGATAGAGAAATATAAATTTTATTATCTTAACTTTGTACGAATATCCTATACACAATCAGATAAAAGAGATGGGTGTAGCTTTCATAAGAGACAACATAGTTTTTATGTGGAATTCCCTGAAAAAGGGGGAAAAACCACTGGGTTTGGCCCAGTTTGAATGAATTCACTAGTGTTTGTAGTCGTTTATAAATGAGGCCATCAAGGGGAAGGCTTTGGCTTGATGTAGCAAATATACATCATATAGAATATATCACATGTAGGAATCGAAAGAATCAGTATTGACATGCATGTTTTGTCGGTAGGAGCATAATTGGCGGGCGATAGAGGTCAGAAATACCATTTTCGGCGAGCAACGGATGTCGGAAGGACAGTAGTTGGCGGGCAAAAAAGACCAGAAAGACTATAGTCTAGCGAAGGATGTTGGAAGTACGATAGTCAGTGGGCAACAGAGGTCAGAAAGACTGTTATTTGGTGATAGAGTTCGAAGGACCATAGTCGACGAGCGACAGAGGTCGAAAGGACCGTAGTCTGGTGACTAAGATCGGAAGGACTGTAGTTGACTGTTGACTTCGTTTTTATCCCGATTTTCCCTCGAGCGTCTTCGAGTGACTTAGTTGAATCCCATTGTGTCTCCACAGATGTTTATAGTGTTTCTCCATATTTTTTCCTAACTATTTGGTAGAACTTGGAGCCCATTAAAATCTGAATAATATCAAATTCAGACCTTGGTGCAAAATGGAGTCTAGTTTATTTTATAGGAGTACAGTAAGGGTTTGTTTTGAGCGGCTAATTTTTTTTTATAAAATTGATTGTAAAATTATTATGAGAAAAATTATTTTTTAATAATAAGTATGAGTTTTATAAATATTTTTTTATTAAATAATAATTTTTTACAGCCACCATATGATTGTAAAAAACACCTTTTAATCATAAAAAATTTTAAAGAACAGCGAGACAGTAATATTTTGAAAAACCAAATAGCTAAAAGTTGTTTCAATAGATCTTAAAGTTTCTTTTGAGACCGTTTTATTACTGGTTTTTACAGTAGTTTTATATCCAGCGTAAATTTTTTTGAAAACGGTAAAAAAATGATGGCCAAAAGTTGTCGGCTTCGTTTGGGACAGCTTTCTAACTGCTTCTTGAAGAAGCACCTGCAAGGTAAGTGAAAACAGAGAAACGAAGAAGGGATAGAGCATAATAGAAACAGTGTTGTATATTATCACTGAATAATCTCTAAGTAGTAACATGGTCACATATATAAGTGACGATGAAATAGAGAATGATGAGTGGAAGTTGTGGAGCAGAGTCCGTTGGTAGCAGTCTGCTGTAGCAAAGAATATGGAGAGCGAATGGCGGGTGGTCCATTTAGTTGTGCTGACACTTCTTAAAACAGCTTTTTAGTATAAAAATTTAAAAGCTGCTTTAAGAACCAAGTCTAAGTTGACCATTTTTACCTTCAATAAATATGATGAAACAAAGAAAATTCAAACTTTTTCTTTATTGTTTTTTTTTTTCTGTAAGACTACTTAAATTGATAAAATAATTGAGGCATACAAATTTTTATTTCAAGACCACCAGTCATTTGAGTTATTCAAGTAATTCATTGTTCAGCCGCCCATCGTTTATATAATTTTTTTTTTTAGTTATTTATTTATTTCATTGCTTACTGATGCTTGCACAAAAACCAATCCTAACAAAACTCTCCAAGCAATAAACTAAGCCTCCGTTTGGAAGAACTTTCTTAATACTTTCAAAGAAATTTTTTAGTACAAAAAATTTTTATACTAAAATGTTGCTTTAGAAAGCAGTTAGAAAGCCTTCTCAAACAAAGTCTTCATATAAGAAAACTTTTGACTATTATTTTTTCATTGCTTTCAAGAAATTTATATACTAAAAAGTTGTTTTAGCTTGAAAGCAATGATAAAACTTTCTCAAATAAAGACTAAATTATGATTCGACATAATTTTTTTTTTCTTTTACAGATTATTTTTCAAGTACAAATTGATGTTTGAATCTTCAAAACTGAAATCAAAGATGAATAGTCGTTATCTTCTCCAACAAAACAAAGACCAAAAAAAAAGATGGAGTGGCCATAAATTACTTAGAATGAGTAAGGGACGACTATAAACTACTTAATTAATCAATGTCTGAATTTTCTTCCACTGTTCATCACGTTTAGCCTATCGATCTTCTCCTATAAAAGAGGACCAATTCTGCCGCTTACATTCCATCGATCATAGTTAAGAATTATTGTTAGTATTCGATCAGAGATTTTTGAGAAGAATGGAGAAACATATTGTTCTTGCCCTCACCATTGTTCTCTGCCACTTTGCTCTCTCTTCTGCCATTGCTGGAACTGCAACTTACTATACCCCTCCATATACACGTGAGCTCTAACTATTTTCTTTATATTTTTCTAAACATTTAGGGCCCAAAATGAATTATTATGTGCGGACGCCGAAAACCGTCCAGAACCCAATGAAAATGTGCCACGTCACCCCTACTCAGTACCGCGGCTCAGTACTACTCGGTACTGGATGATGTGGCTGCACCTGATTAGCCTCTGGACAAGAAGTTGTGTATGATATCTGCACATAATGATTTCTCCTATTTGGAGCAGCTTTCTAACGGTTTTGCTTTCCGATTGCAATGAAGTTTATTCTTTGCCATTTTTTAGAAATTTTTATAATTTAAAACTATTTTTATAATCATATTCATTCAAGTTTATATGGTCTTTATTTTTTAGTTATTTATTTATTTTAAGGGTGTCAATTTCTGACACGATCCGTAATCCGATCCGAAAAAATTCGGGTTCGGGTCAACCTGTTTGTGAAACGGGTCGTGTTCGGATTTTTGACCCGTTTGAAAAACAGGTCGGGTTCGGGTTGACCCGACTATCCGCAGGTCGACCCGGTTGACCCGAAAATTTGAACCGTCGCATCATGATAGCGTTGTGCCGTTGTCGAGTCCGTCAGGTGTCAGGACACAGTGTCACAGGCTGTCGCGTTGCGTCTCCGCCGCTCCGCGTCTCTGCCGCTCCGCGTCTCTGCCGCTCCGCTGCTCCGCTTAGATCCCGATTCGTCCCAACGCAGCCACGGGCCGCTCCACCTCAACCAGACGACCTAGCCAAGTCGCCCAGCACCAGCGTCCGTGTGCTTGTGTCGCGACTCAGCGACTGTCCGCGTGTTCTCGGGTCAGGTCAACCCGTTAACCCACGCGAGTCTGGTCCGGGTTAAAAATCCTAACCCGTTTAGCTAAACGGGTCGGGTTCAGATCAACCCATTTATGCTCAGGTCAACTCAGGTTGGACCCGAACCCAACCCGTCGATCCGAATTAACATCCCTAATTTATTTCATTGCCTACTGAAGCTTGCCCAAAAACCAATCCTAATTAATTTCTTATGCGGATTTTATTAAAGATTGAATCTTTACTCTTACACAAATTGATTGAGTCATGCCTAACAAAACTCTCCAAGCAATAAACTAAGCCTCTGTTTGGAACAATTTTTTTAATATTTTCAAAAGCAAATTTTTAATATAAAATTTTTTTATACTAAAAAGCTGTTTTAGAAAGCAGAAAGCCTTTTTCTCAAATAAAGTCTTCATATAAGACAACTTTTGACTACTATTTTTTATTGCTTTCAAAAAATTTGTATACTAAAGAGTTTTTTTAGAAATCAATGATAAAACTATCTCAAATGAAGCCTAAATTGCCTAAATTATGATTCCACATCGATTTTTTTTTCTTTTACAGATTGTTTTTCAAGTACAATTTGATCTTTGAATCTTCAAAACTGACTGAAATCAAAGATGAATAGTCGTTATCTTCTCCAACAAAACAAAGACCAAAAAAAAGATGGACTGACCATAAATTACTTAGAATGAGTAAGGGAAGACTAGAAACTACTTAATTAATCAATGTCTGAATTTTCTTCCACTATTCATCACGTTTAGCCTATCGATCTTCTCCTATAAAAGAGGACCAATTCTTCCCCTTACCTTCCATCGATCATAGTTGAGATATATTGTTAGTATTCGATTAGAGATTTAAGAGATCGAAGAATGGAGAAACAGATTGTTCTTGCCCTCACCATTGTTCTCTGCCACTTTGCTCTCTCTTCTGCCATTGATGGAACTGCAACTTACTATACCCCTCCATATACACGTGAGCTCTAACTATTTTCTTTATATTTTTATAAACATTTAGGGCCCAAAATGAATTATTATGTGCGGACTCCGAAAACCGTTCAGAACCCAATGAAAATGCATTACATCATCCCTACTCAGTACCGCGGCTTAGTACGGTACCAAGCTCGGTACTGAGCTCGGCATTGGATGATGTGGCTGCCCCTGATTGACCTCTGGACGGTAAGCTATGTCCGGTATCCGCACACGCACAGAATAATCTCTTCTATTTGGGGCAGCTTTATAACAGTTTTGCTTTCAAATCGCAATGGTGTTTTTTCTTTGCTATTTTTTTAGAAATTTTTATAATTTAAAACTATTTTTAAAATCATATCTATTAAAATATGATAGCTACAAATATTTTTTCGCTATGTTTTAAATATTTTTATAGTAGAAGACCAATTTTTGCAACTAGATCTACAATATAAGGTAGCTATAAAAAAACTATAATCCTTTTTTTAAATTTATATATAATCAATTTTTAAAAATATTAACTTTCTTATAATAATATTATCATATCTTCTATAAAAAATTATAGTAACCCAAACATACCCATATAATTTATATTTATTATACTTATCAAAAATAGCAAATTAAAATTATATTTATGTGTGTAAGTGTAGCTTCTTCGTGTTACGGGTATGTCAACATGGGTACGATGATTGCTGCGGCGAGCGATACTATATGGGATAATCGTGCAGCCTGCGGACGAAATTATCGAGTGACTTGTACGGGTCCAACCAATTCTGGTGATCTTCACCCGTGTACAGGTGCAAGCGTTGTGGTTAAGATTGTCGATTATTGCCCTTCTGGTTGCCGAGGCACCATTGATCTCTCCCAAGAAGCTTTCTCGGCTATCGCACATTTGGACGCCGGCAAGATTAAAATTAATTACGTCCGGTAAGTAAATAATTTTTTTTGCAGATTATAGAAGTTCAAATTTTATGGGAAAAAAACTTTATGATTATTTTCAAGATGGAGGAGAATTAATGATTTAAATTCTCCTTAAATTTTTACTAAAAGCTGATATTCATTTGAAAAAAAAAATTGGTTAAGAATATTGTCATTAAATTTTAACATATAAATCATTGGATTTATTTTAAAAATCAAATAAATATTGTATTGGGCTAATTTTAGAGGAAATTCAATGACCTTGATGACATTTTTATCTAAACAATTGAGCAAATTTTTTTCATAATTATTTATAAAATATTTATTTTTCACATTTATTGCATATTTATTTACTGAATAGTCTCTCTAAATATGAAAAATTAAACTAATTTTCTTTTTTTGCTTGCATTCCTATGTGATTTTCAGGGTGTAGAGATGGTTCGTGTGCTATCAAATTAAGTGATGAAGAACAGGAGTGTATCTGTCTTCTAATACATAGAATAAATAATAATGGATTGTGCAATAAGAAATTATATTTTATGTCATGTAACTTTGATTGTGCTCACCTGAGCACAAATGTCTCTCTATCAATATAAATTTAAATTTGCGTTTTACATCATTCATTATTTTTTTTTTATTAACGTTATTCTTAGGTTGCTACATGTCTGATTGGGTCAGACATAACACCCAACTATTAACAGAGACGGAGCCAACCAACACCGCAAAAAAGGAAAAACTCCACCCGACTCCCAACCCAACACCATAGTCGACCCAACCCCAAACACCACAGCCGAAAAACAACCACAACCAACAGCCAAGCCTTCAAACCAAAACACAAAAATCAAACCAACACAGCCCAACAAGAATTATCACTACAGGAAATTCTTGAATTATCGATGGTCTGGGACAGGCGGTTATGTAACTCCCAGTATTAACGGCGGTTAGACCTCCGGTGTTTACTGGCAGTTATTTATTTTACCCCCGCCGAAAATAGCAGCGGTCCAATAACCGCCGGTTATCCTGCCGGTATTATTTCTTACCAGCGTGTTACCGACGATGTTAAGTGAATTTTTTCCGGCGGTCAGAATCGCCGGAAAGCCGTCGAAAAATGCCCTAAAATTAGCCGTCATGAGCCATCCATTTCATTTGCTCGCGTCCTCCTCTCTCTCCTGCGTGACAGTTGTCCCCGTCTCATCTGCCTTTCGATCGAGACACTCCCTCTCGCCGCCGACAAGCTCCCTCTGGCAGAAGATCTCGCCCCCACTCCTGTGCGAAACCAACGTCTGAGTCCCGTATGTTTGCGTTTTTTGCTTTTTTTAAAAATTTTCAAGTTGTTTGTGATTTTGTACAATGTCAAGAGGAATTGGGTTAGAGAGTTAATAGGGATGAAAAAGTTTGTCACTCACCATAAAAAGTTTGTCACTCAATTTAAATTTTCAGGTTGTTTCTACCAAAAACTCCATTAAGAAAGTTTCAATATAAAAGCTAAGGAATCAATGAATACACCATAAAATGATTTATAACCCTGCTTAAGTGGGATTGATGTATAAGTTCCTCCAAGCGGGGATATAGGTGATGCCCCTGGGTGTTGTGTTTAATAATTTATCACTCACCACTATCCAAGATTGAGCGATAGAGTTCCGAACCTAACTGCCCAAAAAATTGATCTCATAAGGTTACCATCAACTCCTTGTAACAATTTTGTCATATGGATCATTTTAAGGTTTAGAAAGGAGGAACCAAGGCATTAGCACTAGGGTTCACATAATTATGTTGGACGAAAATGTCATTGAGAACTAATCCTATAACATAGAAAAGAATTGGAAGAGAATTATCAATATGAAGCTAACGTTCTCATTGGAATAACCTTCAATTTGATTATCTTCTTATAGAATTTTCCTACTATTTGATTCCTCATTATAGATACCATTGATTCGTCTTTGATTTCCCTCAATGATAATTTCAATATTTCCCTATTTTCCTATGAAAGGGACAAAAAATTGCAATTGAGATCTTTTATGGGTTAACTGATAGTTAGAGAAGGAACATACATAAGACATTCAGTCTAGAGGATAAAGACTGCTTATTGAAGGAGACGGCTGGTAGATGAGTTTGAATATTATCAATGCAGAGTTCACCAATAATAATCATAAATAATTGAGCTTAAGAGAAGATTATTATTACTCTTAATAATTGTTGTAATTGATTATAGCGGCGTGTTGCCCAATTTTATGAAAGTTGTTGTATTTTCTGTACAGGTTTAGAGTTTAGAATTAAAATCAGTAAAATATAGAGGAGACTGCCATTTTTTTTTTCAAATGCTACAGGTTTTCGGCGGCCAACTGGCGGTTTGGCTGCCAAAAACATCGATACCAGATGGCTAATCATAGCCGCCGGAAGTTCACTATAGCCGCTAATAATGACCGGCGATTCGCCGACGATTTCCGGCGGTTCTCCGGCGATACGCCGGCGGTGGCGCCACCAGTAATTCCTTCGGTTATGACCGTCGGTAAACCGCCGGTGATTTTTCGGCGGTTTACGGGCGATCGCTGCTGGTAGAACGACGATAATCTGGCAGTTTGGCCGTAAAAAAAATCCGGCCAAACCGGCGGTTAAACAACCGATAAGCCGTTTGTAAATAACCGGTGGTCACCGGCGTTATGACTGCCAGAAAACCACCGATGGAATTAAAAGCCGGTGAGAAAAATCGCCAGAAAAAGACTGCCAAAAACGGTTTCCTACGCGGTTTTTACCGGCGGCTTTAAACCGCCGGAAAGCTTATGATAACTACCTGAACAAACCTCCGGTAATGATTGATTTTCTTGTAGTGTATTTCTTTTAAGATTTTTGCCTACAATGCTTACCACTCCCATGGGAAAAGGTATTGTCAACTATGCGACCAACATTCAAGTTATATCTCACCTGAAACTCATCCTCAGGCCCATCAAAATCCTCCCCACCAAAAGGGGAGGAAGCAAACTCATCAAGCCAATCACATTGGGCCACGCAAGAATCCATCACATTTAACACCAATTGGGCTTTCAAAACATCATTAGATATGAGAGAAACAAGAACATCAATAAGAGGCACACTCTCATTTACAACCATAACATTAGGAGACAACATCGGTTCCGAAGAAGCCAAGTGAGATTTATCAAAGGCAAAAACCACTCCACTAGAGGAGTCATACAACCTATCATGAGACAAACCATTAACAAGATCCATCAAAGCCTTCTCAATAGCGACACGTGATAGAGCTAAATTGGCATCAACCACCATGTTAACATTACACAAACCCATATTCACCAAATTCACATTCTTATGGCAAGGTTTCGGAACCAATTCATGATGAACCATCTCACTAGTGGATTCATTCAAACTGGGCCAAGTCCCGTGATTTTTTTACTTTTTCAAATATTTCCATTTAAAAACTCTGGTCTCTTATGAACGTTACACCATTATCTTTTATCTAATTATCTGTTGGATCTTCATACAAAACTAAGACGTTAAACTTTATATATCTTTCTCTATTGCCATGAATATTCTAGGACGCAACAGTAGTAATATTTTGAAAAACCAAACAGCTAAAGTTATCTCAAATAGATCCATTTGAGACAGTTTTCATACTTGCTTTTACATCAGTTTTATATCGAATATAAAAATTTCTTAAAAACAGTGGCTAAAAAATGTCCCAAATAAAGCCTAAATTGATCATTTTTACATTCAATTAATATGATGAAACAAGGAAAATACAAACTTTTCCTTATTATTTTTTTTCTTCAAACATGCACATGTTGCTTTTATGCTTGAAAGACTAATTAAGTTGATCAATTAATTAAAAAAAAAGGTTGATCAATTAATTGAGACATAAAAATTTTATTTGAAGACCACCAGCCGTCGGTCAGTCATTCAAGTAATTCATTGTTCAGCCGCCCATCGTTTATATAATTTTTTTTTTTACAGATGATTACTTCTACTTATACCTTCATATAAATAGAGGATTATATGATAAGCCTAATGGCATACAATTAGGGGTGTCAAATTCGGATTTCGGGTCGGGTACGGTCGAATCCAGAACTGACCCGAATTCAAACGGGTCGACCCTAACCCTACCCGGATATGTAAACGGGTCGGAAACTCGGACCCGGACCCGACCCGACACGATTCCGAGTCTAGACCTGCAGGCGGAGCGGACTTGAGTGCGCAGGCGAGCGCATGAACTCAAGCGCATAGGCAGGCGCACGAACGCGAGCGTGCAAGCAAGCGCGAGGACTCGAGCTCGCAGGCGGGCGTGCGGACCACAAACGCGAGCTGGCAGCCTCGGGCTCGTCGCGAGCGGGCGGCAATTGGCATGCGCGGGCAGGGCGCGGGCAGCTCATTATAAACGGGTTTCCGGGTTTCCGACAACCCGTCGGGTGAACCCGAACCTGACCCATTTTTCAAACTGGTCGAATCCGGAAACCCGAACTCGACCCGTTTTTCAAACAGGTTGGGTCCAACCCGAATTTTTCGGATATAATTCAGGTCGGATTTTTATGTCTTGTCAAATATTGACACTCCTACATACAATATATAACTTATTTTTATTGAGCACTTTATTTTCTAAGAAATAAAATCATAGAGATTCTCTCCGATATATTCTCCCCCTCTCATTCTGATTCTCTATTTTTTATAATCATTATTACAAATAAGGCCCGGTATCATCCACAAATAAAGTGGAATTTAACAAAATATATTTATTTTAAAATTAATTAATTAATATTTTATATTGCATTAATATTAAATTAAATTATTTCATTTTTTAAATTTGAGAGGATATCTTACCCGAATTTTTTTCTTTAATTTTGTTTAGCAAGCATGAAATTGAAAAAGCTTGCACAAAAACGAATCCTAATGAATTTCTTATGCAGATTTTCTTAAAGGTTTAATCTTTACTCTTACACAACTTGATTGGTCTCATCTATTTGATATTGGTGTTGAATCACCGATTATACCTATTTGGATTTCTTTCTCAATCTATTTGGATTTCTTTCCCAAATTTAAGACCACATCTTTTTTCTCCACGTATCCTCCACACCCTTGGTTTCATGTTTGGTCACCCTTTACAAGTAGATAATGCCACTTCTGTTGTATCCCGTCCTTCTATTGCTCGGATTTTGATTGAGCTTGACATTATAAAAAACTACCCTGTTGAAGTGTGGATTGGTCCTGATAAGTTTGGGTACGTTCAACTTGTCACGATGGAAACTTTCCATCCTTTTTATGTCTAGTGTAAATATATTGGGCATTTGAGGGGCGATTGTCGTCCCCTGTCTTCTGCCTCAGTGAGTGTCAGTTCTATTGCTCCTAATCTTGGTCTTTCTGAGGTGACTGCAGGTGTTAAGGAAACTGAGGTTAATTTGAAAAAGGCTCCTAGTGATTTTAATCAAGTTAATTCGATTGGCAAGATGATTGTTGCTGTGGAAACCGTGGATAACTTAGAATTACTGGTTAATGAGGATAATGTTATAGTCATTACTGAGGCTGTTGATATTGGTAATTGTAATGTTGATGTGGTGGTTGATGTTGGTCGTGATATGGAGGTAGAGGCTCCTTCGAATGTTTTTCAGCCTTTGCCTATTGCTTTTAATAATAAAGATGGTGGTTATGATAGTTTGGAAGTCAATAATTGTGGTTCTAATTATAGTGATGTTGTTGATGTAGATTCTACTGCTAATAATTCCGGTTATAACTCTGTTCATCGCGGCTTGGAACCTGGGGAGTGCTCTTTGGGGGATTTGGTTGTGTCTGTTGTTGGCCCCTCTAATGATATTGATGTCTCTCTTGTGCCTTCTACATATATGACTTTTTTGCCTAAAATTGTGATTCATAATGTCTTTAATGTTCTAGTTTCTTTAATTTCTAAGGATAATTTGAATGCTCAATTGTTATTGAACATGAATGATAATTGTTTGGATCAGTATGACTGACTTGATGGGTCTTCTTCCGTATCTTATGGGGAAGTAATTGCATTTGCTGTCTGTTGCTGTTTGTATTCTTGTTTTGGTGGCTGGGCTTTTTCTATTTTCTTTTTTAGGTTTTCTTTTGGCTTTCTTTTGTTGTTGATATTATATTTGGTGCTCTTGTTGTTCTTCTTTTTGATTGTGGGTTTGATCTGGTGGTTGTTTTTGGGTGTTGTTTATCCTGTTGGATAGCTGATAGTTGTTGGTTGGCTGTTTGGTTGCAAGTCTATTGCTTGTTGGACTGGTGGTTTGTGGACTTGTGGTTGGTGTGTCTCCTTTCCCTGTTCCTTTGGTCGTTTCTTTTACAGGTTCTTGGATGTTGCCTCATTTGGGCTATTCAAAATCTAAGGATATTCCAGTTGCTTTTTTGTTCATTTAGTTCATCCTCGTGTTGATTGGAGTGTTGTTCACCTTCTCGGGGCTTTGCTTGTGCTACTTCTTTGTTGATCGTGTTGATGGTCCAGGCTCCTCCAGCTTTGTTGTTGTCCCGGCTAGGTTTCTGTTGGTCCAGTGTTGGGCTACCTTTGATTTTTTCTGGTCCAGTGTTGGGCTACCTTTAATTTTTTCTTTGGTTTCTCCTTCTGTAGCTTGTTCTTTATATTAGCTGGATCATAGGCTCAGTGGGTTTTGATTCAAATGTTTTTTTAGACGAGCTTTAGATTCTTTAAAGACTGTTCATCCTCGTGTTGATTGGAGTGTTGTTCACCTTCTCGGGGCTTTGCTTGTGCTACTTCTTTGTTGATCGTGTTGATGGTCCAGGCTCCTCCAGCTTTGTTGTTGTCCCGGCTAGGTTTCTGTTGGTCCAGTGTTGGGCTACCTTTGATTTTTTCTTTGGTATCTCCTTTTGTAGCTTGTTCTTTATATTAGCTGGATCTTAGACTCAGTGGGTTTTGATTCAAATGTTTTTTTTTAGACGAGCTTTAAATTCTTTAAAGACTTGTAACAGGATGTTTTATCTAACACGTAGACCCCTCCAACAATTTTATCCAAAACAAAAAATTGTTTTAGAAAGAAACAATAAAATGTCTCAAAAGAAGTCTAAATTATGATTCCATTTTTTTTTTTTTTTTTTTTGCTTTAAGAGATTGTCTTTCAATTACAATTTGATCTTTGAATCTTCAAAACTGAAATCATAGTCGAATAGTCGTTATCTTCTCCAACAAAACAAAGACCAATAAAAAAAAAAAGATGGACTGACCATAAATTACTAAGGGACGACTAGCAGCTTCTTAATTAATCAAAGTCTGAATTTTCTTCCTCTATCCATCATGTTTAGCCTATCGATCTCTCCTATAAAATCCCCTTACATTCCATCGATCATCGTTGAGAATTATTGTTAGTATTCAATCAGAGATTTAAGAGAAGAATGGATAAACAGATTTTTCTTGCCCTCACCATTGTTCTCTGCCACTTCGCTCTCTCTTCTGCCATTGTTGGAACTGCAACTTACTATCGATCATCGTTGAGAATTATTGTTAGTATTCAATCAGAGATTTAAGAGAAGAATGGATAAACAGATTTTTCTTGCCCTCACCATTGTTCTCTGCCACTTCGCTCTCTCTTCTGCCATTGTTGGAACTGCAACTTACTATACAGATCAAATTACACGTGAGCTCTATCTATTTTCTTTATATTTTTATAAACATTTATGGCCTGTTTGCAGCAGCTTTAAAACAGTTTTGATTTCAGATAAAACATATATATATATATATATATATATATATATATATATCATATTATATTATATATATATTACTAAAAGTTATATAGAAATAACAGATTAAAATTATTATTATATGGTGTATGTGTAGGCTTCTGCGTGTTAACGGGCTATGAAGACCTGGGTACAATGATCTGCGCTGAGCGATGCGATTGTTATATGGGATATCGGTAACGGCCTGTGGACGAAATTATCGGTTGGTTGACTTTGTAACGGTTCCGACCGATTAATGCGGTTGTGTTCAACCGTGTACGGTGCGAGCGTTGTGGTTAAGATTGCGATTATTGCCCTCCGGTTGCCCATAGGGCCTAACTTTTGATCTCTCCGCAAGAAGCTTTTCTGCTAAGCTAGATTTGAATGCTGGCAAGATTGAAATTGATTACATTCAGTAAGTAATAATTTTAAGTTGAGATAGAAGTTCAATTTTTATGAAAAAAAAAAAAAAAAACTATTAATTATTTGATGATGGAGGAGAAATGAATTGGATTAAATAATTTTTTTATTTATGTTTTATTTTTTTTAGTTTTGCGAGAATTTATGTATGTACTGTGGAATTTTTATAAGTATTATAATATTTAAATTTATTTTATGTATAATATTTAAGTATTTAAATTACTGCTTGGAGATAGCAAGAAAATATATATTTTAATTTTAAGACACGTTTTATATATAAAGTGTTTTGTTGTGTAATTTAACAATATATAATTTTCTATAAATAAATATTAAAAAATTAGGTATTAGATAATTATAAATATAATTAAAAACTTAATGGTACAGTATATGTAGAAAATATTCTCCTTAAATCTTACGTAATTGGCGTATTTATTCGAAAAAAAAATGGTGATAAGAACATCTCATTAATTTTGATTAGCGATGATTTTATAAATTTTCGGGTTGATTGATTTTAAAATCAAATTAATATTTTATTGGGCTCAATTTTAGAGGAAATTTAATGACTTAGATGACTCCTTTTATCAAACATATTAAGCTAATTTTTCATATTTATTTATAAAATATTCAATCTCCCAATTTTATTTACTGATTGTCTCTAAAAAAGAAAAATGCGACTAAGTTTCTTTTTTTGCCGGCATGCTATTGTGATTTTTCAAGGGTATAGAGCATGGGTTGGAGAGGGCGTGAAACGTATGGCGAGAAAATCGTGCTTTTTAATGTACTTCTAAGCTATCAAATAAGTGTGAAAGACAGAACGGAAGTATCTGTCCTTTTATACATAGATAATAATTAATGGATTATGTTATAAGCAATGAATTTATTGTCATGAAAGTTTGCATTGTGCGCGCACATGAGCACAAATTAGTCTTCTCTATCAATAAATTTGCTGTTTTTATTTTCAATGCCAACTTATAAATTTTAAATTAAATAGTTACTGCATTATTGTTTTTATTTTTTTTTTTTAATAAGTTCTATTCTTAGAGTTGCTACATGTCTATTTTATGGATATAAAATTATCATGACTATTGTCTAACATTTGAAGTTCCTTTTTTTTTCTTTAACTTATTATTTCGAGTATGTCGCACAAAAAAGGCTACAATTCTTAGACAATTGAATTGAAAACTTTCAAATTAACGTGATTCCGCAGAATTTATAGGCCTTGTCTTTTTTCCGATTCTAATCGGAAAAAGGCCGTAATTACGCTGCAACAAACAAAGCCTAAGTTGAACAATAAGCACAAATCCTGCTATATTTGTTTTCGGATCTCCACCCACGCTCTTACTTTTTCATATCTTAAACAGATCCATAAGTGCTTTCCTACAATTAAGTGAACATAGGAATAAACTTTATTTTTATTTTTGGATATTTAGGTCAGTTAAGATAAACTCACACCTAATAAATTTCATCATTTTGTAAAAAGAAAACTCACACCATCAGCACAGAAATAAAAGCAAGAGCTTGATAAGATTCCACATATAACATGCATTAAATTTTAAATAAAGATAATTTATGTACAAGATAATCGCATATCATCTTCGACGATGAAAGCACAGAAATTAGTATGTAATCAACCAGACCAGACTCAGCATTCAAACGCCAAATTTAACTCGAAGCTTTACCCTCACTGCTCACTGCTCTGGAGGACGCCCAAAAGGGCACGGCAGGAACTCGCAGAAAAGCCTTCACTCCCAACGGGTTATTCTTGCTCTGTTCAGCAAATCCAATAATTAGAAGAATGTTTACAATAATCAGAGAAGCAAGTTCCATATAAAGAGTAGTTACCGTTAGGCAAGTTCCGGCCCGAAGATCGCAAACGGGGAAATCAAGAGGGCAGCAGCTGCTCTGGTCGTCACAACAGGTGGCGGCTTCGAGGGGGCAGCAGCCCCAAGCAAGGCAAAGCCGGCCGTACTCATATACACAGCAGCAAGTGGTGCTTGCTGGGCAGGAGTAATAGTTATCGCAAAGCTTAGGAGGCTTTACAGGAGCGGGAGGGCTTGGGGTTGGTTTTGGTGGGTTTGGACCAGTTTTGATAGGATAGGAGGCCTGCATTGCAATTCCGCATTTGCCGCTGGACGAATTCACATTGCGCTCCATCCTTATGAAGCCTTCCTCTCCCCAGTCTGCGCCCCAGGAGTTCTTCACGACCCAGTAATCCTTGCCGTGCTCAGTCCCGTAGCCTACTGCAAGAACACCGTGATCTAGTTCGGTCCGGCAACTTCCAGTGAAAATGCCCTGATTGCAAGATGTAAGAAACAAAACAATTCATGATATATAGTGAATATTCTTTGCATGCGCAGTAATGACTCGTCAAATAAGGTAAGAACAACATAGGAGCAAAGAGTTTCTTTATCAAACAAATTCTTTTGTTGCATTTTAATTCTCATCTTTGTGTTTCGCTCATTACTACAAACCAAATAAATAGTACAAGCACTTTGTTTAAAGAATATGCAATAGAAGATGTAAAGGTCAATATCAACATATTTGATGGCAAAAACTACTTCGACCAGTTTGACATGAAATCAATGAAATTTCCGTCAAATTGTGCTCGAGTTCGTTTAGTTAATATTGATTTGATTTCAATTCATTTGAAGTGGGTTAATTTAGGCCGATTGAAGCTATCAAGGTCGAGTTGTACTAGCCAAATATGGAATTGAATTGACTCGACATAACTTGATTTAGCATGATTCAGTCTGAAATGACATCCATTAGATTGAAGTTTGAGTCAATTGAATTTGATTTGATGTAAACCTATTTGATTGGAACTAAATCATCGCGATTAAGGCTGTGTCGACACTATATCATTGTTCGTCTACCTAAGGGAAATCTTCGGGGTGACTTCCACACAAAGGTAAGGATGCCTATCTTCTAGAAGAATTCTAGGATAAGATAGAGCATCGACCTCACCAAAAGTGAGGTCAACATATGGATGATAGCACTGTGAAAATAAAGTGGCAATAAGGTAAAAAAGCATAAGAAATAAAATGCCAACGTTTTAGTATGAGGCATTCAAGATGTATTAATTCTCAGGGTTCATAATCCAATAGAATTATGGATATAAGACATAATGCGTGTTTTTCCATTATTCTTCTAACAAAGAACTAATAACAAATTACTCTACAAGCAAATAAACCAAAGTATGCCTCATCCACGATGAGCTAAACGAAGCCATGTGAAAGCTAGACAAGGCTAAGCACATTTATGGCCTGAGAAAAAAACTTGATTTCTATAAGACAATTTGCAATAGAAGGATGCAATGCCACATTTAATGTTGACACTGGAAAGTGAGTAGAGGAGCATTGACGATTATCCAAAGTAAGAAAACTATAATACTTTGGAGATCTTATGTTAATATAAAGATCTTTAAAATAAATTTTATGATATTCTGAGAGATCTTGCGAGATATTTCACTAATTTCAAGATATCTTATAATATCTTATGGGATCCTACAATGCTTTCTATGCCCCAAATTATCACTAAAAGAATGCGTTAGAATGAGGGATTTCGAATCCCATAACCTCAAAAAATAAAGAAGACAAGGAAGAAGAGGGAGGGGCTGCAAATCTAGAGAATTAAATAAAGAACTTCACAGGTGCTTGTAGAAGGGAGCTCTTCCACTGCTTCAAGAAAAAGGAAGATGCCACTAATTTCAATGTTATTAAGAGAAAAAACCTACAGACTTACTTGGAACTCTCATTTGAACTACTGCAACACAATAAATGAAGAGTAAAGCAACATCCTCTTATCTGCATCTCAATGCTTATCAACTTTATAAGAAGTGTAATATCTCTATGTACCCTAATGAGCAAATATGCAGTACTTCAATTTACTTTAGGATGAATAACTCTTTCTTCTTCTACACAGCAAAAAATAAAAATTAAGCTTCTGATAGTAAAAATGATGAGGTCTACTGTGAAAAGACAAGAAATGTGTATGATGGCAGCTTGCTTGATAAGGAATTGTCGATATTGACATGATTTTTCCACCAAATCATTAGATAAAAAAGACTTTAAGTAACAAAATATTTGGTCTTTTTTTGTTTTTATTCTATAAATAACCGATTAGAAAATATGATTGGTCATCAATGCCTTAGAACTAGCTAGAACATTTTTTTCCTATAGTATAAAACATAAACGTGCAAATTTTTAAATTCTAAAATACAATTAGTATTATAAAATTTCCAGTTTTAAATAGCAATAAAGAATGTTGATTATTATTCTTACAGAAATTTACCAGCACAATCAAAATTTAAATTAAAAAGCATAGCTGCTACAGAAAAACATTGTGATTCTCAATCAAAATTGTAATAGACAACTAGCTAATCATTATTTTATCATTAATTGCAATTATTTTCCTCGGCGGCATCAACCACTATAGGATCCACCACCGCAATGACATCATCAGATTACTACTGCACATATCTATTGGCATAGTACCAAATATTATGTATAGGGATGCAAGTATAACGAGCTTATCTAAGCCGAACATTGTGACGGATGAATTATTTTACTGGTTATGCACAAATAATTAAAAAACAATAATGCATGATATACGAAACTATTTGTTAATAAAATCAAGCCATCGGCGCATAATGGTACTTACCGATTGATACAGCTGGAATGCCCTGCCAGCAGCTTCTATGGCGACACTTACAGGCTGATTTGCAACTGCCTTCTGCAAAGCCTTTTCATTGTTTACAGGCACATCTTCATATGAATCAATAGACACGACCCTAGCATTTCTCTACAACAAGAGAAATCAACAATTTCAGTTGGCACAAAAGGCATCAAATGATGATAGCAATACCCTAAACATCAAATACAGAAAGAGAAATCAAACAGGACACACACCCTGTAAGAATCACATTTGCCATTACGGCCGCTGTAAGGATAATCCTCCTCAGAGTCAATGCCACCGTTCCTAATGATGAATTCGAAGGCATCATCCATAAGGCCGCCGTTGCATCCCTGATTGCTGCTCGTGTCGCAATCCACCAACTCTTGCTCTGATAGCGAAATGAGGTCTCCGGTCACAATCTGATTAATCCCTTCCACGGCCGCAATGCTCGAGAAAGCCCAGCAGCTCCCTTCGAAAAACAAATACCTCATAAATCACCATCGAACCCCCGCAAAAAACTCCCACCAATTTCAATCTAAACCATGATTATAAAAGACTAAAAAGGAAAAAAAAAAAGATTCAAAATACCGCAAGTGCCCTGGTCCTTGACAGGGGCAACGGCTCCCTTGGCCCTCCAATCAACAGAATCGGGCAGGGCCTCACCAAAAGCGACGTGGTAACGGTCACTAGGATTCCGGCGGTGTAGATGTCGCCGTGTACCAAGGTAGGATGCGCGGTACTCTTCATTGGTGAGATCGGCGAAGCGGTTGAGGCCGAGGCGGAAGGAGTGGACGCCGGCATCGGCAGCGGCATTGTGCTCGTCTATGTAGCGGAGATTCTCCTTGAAGACTTCGAATCGCCGCTCCTTCTCGTCGAGCGCGTTATAGTTCCGGCCATGCTGCTCCATCCACCTCTCGTAGATCTCCCGCATCTCTGCCTCGCCCCTATCGAGTCCCCGCATGCCATGACTTTCAACGTAGCTTATGATCGACATATCTGGTCCATTGCCGCCGGCACCCGGGGCAGCCGCTACGCCGTTGAGGAGGAGGAGGAGGAGGAGAGAGAGTGACATTATAGAACTTGAGCCCATGAAAAGTGAAAGATCAAATAGGCAAGAAACAGACCTCGAGGAGAAAAGTGAAAGATCAAATAGAAAAGAAAGAGACCTCAAGGAGAAAGAAAAGCTTTCGGGGGTTTCTTCCGTAGCGTTCACTGAGCCTGTTATTTATAGGCGGAGAGGGGGAAGAATGAGAACGCCTGGAAACGGAAGCCCAAAAAATAATTCATTTTAAAATAAATATTAAATCTCAAAAATAGCCTATAATATTATAATTAATTTAAAATTATTTTTAACTTTGTCCACGCAATTTGTTCCTTATTTAAATCATAATATTTTTAATATTTATGTAACTAAAATAATTATTTATATTTGTTCCTTATTTTATGAGCATTTTGATAATTTGAATCACAATCCGAAATACTTCATCGTATGACCGACCCACATCAATTTCTGTTAGCATAAAATGTTTATTTAGCATTTGAGTGCCCTCATAATGTCGGAATTGAATGATTTTTGGCTTGTTGAATTCTTCCTCAAGCGGCTCGAATCAACTATAAGAATATTTGATTTGAAGATCCCTTGGTCACCCAATTAATATTTTAAGTTTTCAATCATATTTTACGTGTTAGGTGACTTTGAATTCATTTGATGATAATCATTTTTTGACTTCTCATGCTTTTTTCATTGCATAAGATGATCAACTATTTGTGAATTTTTACATTTTTAGAATGAATGCTCAAACTACATTCGATGAGCATTGATGACCAGCTTATACTCGATGAATCAAATTAGTGTAAGAACAAAGAATTTCTTGTATCAATGAAGGAGAAAATGGTCCATGATAAAGGATCAGATGACCCATCATAGGGATCAATAGTAGGTAATTTATACCCTATCGAAATAAGTTGTTAGATAATTTCATTTACTAGAGGAGATGAATCATGAAAGTTTTGTTAAGGATTAAATTAATATTTATCATGCATAGAGAATTTTTCTTGGACAAAATATTGCAACATATCTCTTCTAACCTCACGAGGGGCGCCCATAAAATGATTTTGATCTATGTCCTCTATGATTGGTGGAGGATTACAGGTTGGTCCAATAATGTGGGGAGGATATTTTGAATTAGTTATGTTGGAGAGAATTTGATAAGCTTGTGGAGAAGAAGGTGCTCTTGGATTGAATTTATTTCCAAATTATATTGATATTGTGGAGGGAGAACTCCATCATATTGTGATAGTTCCCTTTGGTGTTCCCTTGGATTTCATTTTGAAGTTTATCCGTCCTATGTATAAGATCTTCTAAAATGAGGCGTTAAGGAACTTGATCACTCATATTTTATTATTCTTGTTTGAGGAATTGATTGTTTGCTAATGAAGAAGTATGTTGGGATGATTCCCATAGACGATGTCAAACTGTAGCATGCAAGAAAATTTGAGTCAGTAGAGTGTATTGTTACGTCTCAGCATTATATAAAGATTCAGCAATTACAGATAATTGTAGTAAGATCAAAACAAATTTATGTTAAAAACTCATGAAGGGAAAAAATCACGAGACCCGACCTAGTCGAAAAATTCACTATGTAGTAAGTAATATAAGAATCCTCCTTTTTTCATAGTTGAAGAAGAGGGGGAATAAACAAATATTTGCCTTTTCCTGAGAAAGATTACATAAATCAAGTATCCACAAAGGGACAATCTATGCCAAAAAGTAGGACTTGATTTCCCCGATAGGGATTATAA